CATGATCTCACAAAGGACATCCCTGGTCCAGAGGACTTCGAACTCAAGGAAGATGTAGAAGCCGAACCTCATCCTGAGACCATCGATGACAGACCTGATTCGGAGGGTAGACCACATAAGATAAGACGTAGATTCTATCGTTCCCCTGAATATTGGCAAAAGAGATCACGAGGCGAGATTCCACCTCTCAGCAGTATGCATGAACAAGAGTTGAATCAGCAGCCATTTGCCGCTGTTGCTCCTGAAGAGATCCCCGAGGATAGACTTGAGCCAGCCGATAAACGTAGAAGGGTTGTTGAAATTGATTCATCTCCAAGTTATGCACCCACCGAACCGCCAGTTCCTCTTGAAGAAGAGGGATCTCAGTCAGGCTTTCAAATGCACAACGAGCTTGATGAGCTCATGCCTGACCCAGGTGCTGTACCTGCACACCTGGAACCAGAGACAGACACTAATCCGCCCGAATCCGATAGACCTGATAACACCGATGAAGTAATGCCTGAAGTAGACTCACGATCGAACGAGATCGAACCATCTGGCATAGATGTTCCCGTTCCAGAAGCTGGTGAAGACGAACTAGCGGTAACAGCCAGATTGCAGCAGGCAGAACATGTGTTCGAACTTTCCATTGACGTCCATCCCGAAGACATCACTGAGAATCCTCTGTGTCTCTGGAATCTTTTTGAAGAATGCTTGCAAGCTGCGCCGCAGTCCAAGGCGAAGCAAAGAAGGGTTGAAGTCCAGTTCCGCAAACTCAATCCACACGACAAGAAACTGTTTCTCCAAGCTATGCAAAAGGAATGGCAAAGCTGGATTGACAATAAGGTGACTTCACTTTGCAAGGCTAGAGGGATTCCTACAGAAAGAATAATTAGAGCAAGGTGGGTCTTGGTATGGAAAAAGTCATCCGATCCTGATATCACATCCAAAACTCCAAAAGCACGTCTAGTTTTGGTAGGATGGCAGGACCCGGACCTAGGAAAGGTAGCAACAGACAGTCCAACTTTGCGTAAGGAAACAAAGCACCTTGTTTTATCCATTTGTTCAGCATCCAAGTGGAAGCTATGGGGAGCCGACATAAAAACAGCGTTTTTGTCAGGTGATGAATCTTGCAGAAACATTTACTTTCGACCTCCAGCAGAAATCAAACAATGGATGAACTTGAGTCCAGATGACCTGTTTCGTCTTGAGAAGGCTGCCTACGGCCTGGCTGAGGCACCACGTGCTTGGTTTTCCCGCCTGACCAGGGAACTTAAGGAAGCAGGGCTAACCCAGAGCCAGTTGGATCCATGTTTGTTTATGTTGAGGAGTAAGTCCGATAACACTTTGAAAGGCATATGTGGAGTACACGTAGATGACCTACTAGGTGGAGGTTGCAAGGAAATGGACCAAGCCTTGGACCGACTCCGAAAGAAATTGCCGTTCGGTGACTATCGTACTTTCACAATAAGATATACAGGAGTAGAGATTCGACAAAATCCAAATACGATGGAAATTGAAGTAGGACAAGAAAATTACATCGAGAATTTGGAACATGTTGAAACGAAGACTTTGGGAAACGCTTCAACGTCCCTTACAGATCCTTCTATCCTTAGAACTTGCGCCGGTCAGTTAGCCTGGGTGTCGAACTCGACACGTCCGGAACAGGCATTCCTGGCTTCGTATCTTCAAGGGGTTCAGGATAAGGGGAAAGTTGAACACGTCCACTTGTACAACAAAGCCGTGAGGGAAATGAAAACTAGAAAAATCTGTTTGAAATTCCCTAGCCACGTTCCAGTAAAAGATTGGCACATCGTGTGTATTGCTGATGCTGGCTGGTGTACTAGAGCTAACGGTGAAAGTCAAGGTGGATACATCCTATGTCTTACGACCAAAGACATCATGAAGAACAAGGAATCCCCTGTATGGATAATAGATTGGAGTTCTAAGAAGTTACGACGAGTAGTTCGTTCCTCAGTAGCAGCAGAAACCATGTCCGGTCAGAATGGACTTGATGCGATTGAGTGGATTCAATCCCTGCTTGCTGAGATCCTAGAAGGCCGATCGCCTCGAACCTTCCGAGAACAAGTCCCAGAAAAGACAGCATGCCTCGTTGTTGATAGCAAGGGTTTCTTCGATGCAGTCACAAAATCGTGTAGCTCTCCTACTATTAGCGTAGAGAAGAGACTTCAGATCGACTATGCCATCGCTAAGGAAAGCATGTCCTTGCAGAACATCATGGTCTTTTGGACTAGTAACATTTTCATGTGTGCAGACGTGTTGACTAAACTACGAGCCGACACAGGACCTTTCTATAAACTCGTTGACACTTGGAAATACACCATCCACACCGGAGTAGAGTCAGGTAAGAAAGAAAAAGCCAAGGCGAGAGCTGCAGAAGCAGAGAAACGTCAACTAGATGAGCACTAGGGCCCATGCATGCATGTTGTGAAGTGAATCCAACATTTGCTTGGTGAAACTTGAAAAGAATTTGTTAGTTAGGTTGAGAAACCATCCATTGCCAGCCACCTCGAACCAGTTCGTTGCTGAGGAGTCGTCCTGGTTGTTTTTCTCATTTTTCTTGTGCCGCATCGGTTAAACCGAATTTTGCACAGCCTTTTTGCTCCAAGGAGCGCACGACCGTGAAGTGTCGCCCATTCAGTCCCGCAGGATCATGTCGAAAGCAGCAAAGACCGATGATGAAGAATATCACATCCGGTCACCACTGACGGATCAGGATCTTAGCATGTGTGCCGGCCTTCTCCATCGAGCTGTCCGTTTCGGACAAAGTGCGCAGTTGCTCCAGCGTGTGAACGACTGGGTGAAGATTCGTCCAGACCTCCGACCAAATGTTGTGGGAGCCCAGGTCATTGTGGATGCCTCCATGTCCGCCATGACTGATGCTGCAAAGCGACGCATGGATGCCGATGAGACCTCTCAGGCCTCGAATCCGTGGGAGCTCTTGAATGCCAATGAGCCTACCGGTTCAACCATGACACCGGAGCGCCTTGCCTTGAGCCGGAAAGGTGAACTTGTTCCCAGTGGCCAATGTGACCGATCCCCTGATTCCCTTGCCTGAAGGAATCAACACCGTAGAGAAATGGGGACAGACCATCTGTCGTATGGACAAGGTGAAGGCTGAAGGCCTCACGTATGATCAAATGATCATGACGGCCCGCACGAATTCGAAGAAAGGAGAAGACATGCGTCAGTACCTCCAGTTCATTTTGTCAAAGCATGGTACTGGTGGAAAAGTGCCATCCAAGATTACCAAGGCCGTGGACTTTGCCATGTACCTTGAAAAGGTGAAATGGAAGAAGCCTGATTTTGAAGGTCTTGCTGATAACTATGGCTTCACCAGGGAGCTGCGTGACTGAAAAGGTCGCTGAAACCGACCGGTCCCAGCCTACCGCCATGAGGGTGTGTAAATTTGTGTATGCATCGGAGCATGCATATCATGATATGATGTGATGACGGCCGCCTGTGACCTTTCGGATCATAGGGCCCTTGAGTCTGGCTCATCCGAGCCCCCGACGGTTGCGCAATGGAAAAGTGAGCGCACCGCTTGCTTTTGATCGTGACGGAGTTCTTTGATCCCCGTTGGTTGATTTGTGACAGTTGCCTTTACAAGTTGCTGTTGATCCTCCGCTCACCATTTTACACTCATACACTACAGTACTACAATTCATCTGGTTTCCAAGCTCCACAATCGGAGGGGCAAACATAAAGGCCCTAAAGTACTGCGCAAACACAATTTCCACACTTCAATGCACCAGTTGAGTTTTGCTAAAAGATTACAAAAACATGAAAAGTAAAAACTGCAACTGAAGGGAACTAAAGGCTCATAATGGCTCTAAAGTCCCTAAAGGACGGCCAAGAAGCTATTCGGCGATTGGATCATGCGCTTCAACTTGTGCTTGCACTTCTCCTGCCCAGAACGTGACGACTGCTAAGCTCGCAAGCTAAAAATGATCGCGCAACTCGACATCAAGCTGAGAGGTTCCATTGAAGCTTTCATGAAGCTGGATTAAAATCTTGATGGGATTCGCATAGTGGCATAGTGGCTAGAATCATCTATAATCTATATACTTGTTTGATCGCAGGTGCTAGCTCAGTGAGATGGAAGGAAGCAGCATGCCAGACAGCAAAGTTCAATGTGAAACTGCCGAGCACAAATGATGTGAACTTCAATGTGAACGAAAAGCTGAATTTTTGGGGAGCTGAACGGGGATCCGCGAAACTGTGCCAGTAAGATCCAGTGAGGTTCATGAGTATCACTTCGACATCCCGCATCAAGCAAAAGACGAGACCAAAACACGTCATTGAATTGAATTAGTCTGTTTCCAACATCCCATTGCCTCGCGAGGATCGGGGTTCAAGAGGTCAATATCCATCTGGCTGCGGTGAGTCGGGCGCAGACACGGGTCTGTTCACTCCCACAGCTTATCCAAAACTTGCAAGGACTATATACTAAGTAGATACTTATGATACTTGTAGAATCTTGTAGAAGGAAAAGCGGCTGGGAAAGGCCCTAAGGTAAGCCAAACATCGCATAGGGCAGTTCATTGGCACCTTTCAATAGCAAGGATGTGGCCCTATCAAACACTCACGCAGTCGTGTCTTGATGTGATGTCAGATTAATGTCCGTGTTGGTGTCAAGCTCCGGCTCCGGGCCTTCCAAAAAAGGTGGGCAAAGCACTTCTCGAAAGGCACAAGTTGCTTGGAATGCCCGCGTCTGCTTGAACCCAAGGCCAAAAAGCATCAGTATGCATAAGGTTCCTAGAACGAAGCTGTCGGATGGATTCTTACAAGGAAATGCACGAGCCATTGCTGGCCTGGCAACTGCCGAAAAGCAATTGCATCGAAAGGATTCAAAAGATTTCAAAAGAGGGTGTTGCCAAAGCATCAAGAGTTGCATATATATATATATTAGTGTTCTTATAACAGCTCAGAAAAGGGCGAACGTCGAGGGGTGGCCGACCTATCCCGAGTCATTCCGAGAACTTCCTGGGCTGCCCCGCAGGAGCGGTGGATGCAAATGGCCGGGGGGCAGGATCACTGGGCAGATCGCACGTATACCGAGGATATTCGCAGGAAAGGTGCCTATCGATCCAAGTGTTTTACATCGCTTAGATACAACAACAAGTGCATAAGCACGAAATAAGCTGCAAAGAAGTGTGCGATTCCCCGGCAACTTCTGGACAATTGCGAAAGCTGGTGCAGTTGGCAACAGCAACTGGTGAATCAATCCCACCTTTCAATCATCGTACATAAATATTCTTTCCTAGAGCCTGAAAGCCTTCAAAAGTTTCAAAACAAGGCTGGCCCCTTTTTAGGAGAGACTTCAATACTTGTGAATGATGCTGGACAGTCACTGTGGCAAACCTGCAACTTCATTTCGTCTTCATCAGTGGCACAACTTGAAGGCCGGAGACAGTGCTGTCTCCTCATTTAGTGAGGGTGCTGCTTGACAAATGTTGCAAGAACATTGATATTTCGTGAATCTTATCGAAGTCCCACCATCGAAGCGAACGCAGCTAAGAATGACGGTCTTCCAAACTGCACTGACATAGAAAAAGTATAAAAAGCGCAACTCATGCGGTACGGCACACAGCTGGGCAGAGCTAAGATTCATGGAACCCTATTCCCACGCTTGCTCTGGTGTGCTGCCGTTCAAGCCTGTTGTATGGCTGGAGCACCGGCAAAGCCAACGCCTGGCGAACTGTGATGCTTGTGAAGCTTTGCAACCAAACGGACCAACCAAACTGAATGAGGTGCAGCACACAGCACCGGTGCTCTTTTGACAGCACCTCCACAACATTCCAACCAAAAGTTTAGTAATCGTCCCTCCCCATCATCCTCGTGCCAAGTCTTGAGATCAGTTTCCTTGCCTCCCGGGCACTGGGCCGCTCATCCGCACTCTTCGCCAGGAGCATGGCCACAAGCTGAGCAAAGGCCAATGGTTTGAAATGAGGTCGGTTGAATTAGACTTCCGGAAACAAAGGAGCTCAACTTTGGCCGATTTTGCATTGATTGTGCACCATTTCTCACTTCAGCAGTATCAGTTTCCATCCAAAATATTGAAAAGCCAGTTGCAATGGCTTGCTTTTCTGCCCCACTTCAAGCAAGAATATCTACTATATACTATATCTAATATGTCCAGTCAATGAGTCAACAAAATTTGAATGCGCAACCCCAAACCGCCGAACCGTGTCTCTGCCTTGGCCAGCTCTTCGCTGTACATCTCAGGGATTGCTTCGTAGTGCTCTGAGACCTTCATAGCTCAGCGTCAGGTTCTAAACTCAGACTTCTTGTTCAATGTGCAATTGAGTTTGAATCTAGACCGACCGAGAGCAAAGCTATGCAGTACACAAGGCCCAGCAAGCTTTGTGACCTCGGAGAAGGATGCACAGAAGAACAATGGGGAACGGTCCAGAGTCAACACAAACTGGAAGAGGCCAAGGCTAAATTAAAATCTCTGTGAAAACTATTGGTTTCAACTGCGCGGGAGGTCAATCAATTGGGACAACTACGATTGAACAAAACAAAACTGCCTCGCAGCAAACCTCGTGATCAAAACAAAAGAACATGCATGCTCCAGACACCGTTTCTCTAAGGAAGAAGTGCGACTGAGTGTGCAGCATGGTTATCATTCGGTGACCAAGCAAAATGGATTTCATTGCATTGAAACAATGTCACAAAGCAGCAGGCTTTAGAAAGTGGTCCTGTAGCAGGTAGCAGTAGGTTTTGGTGGGTGCGGTCAGCCTATCAAATGTTTGGTGACTGCGTATTACCAAGGCTGTCACAGCCGCATGACATGTTGCTCTGGGTCAGCCCACTCGAAGGCGTGGCGGAAGCGGCACCTAGGTTTGGAACATTTGAGCGGAGCTCCACTTCCAAGATTGGCAAGTGTGCTTCATGCAGGTGGCCAGCGCTGAACAACTAATATCTGTCAAAAACCTACACTAACCTACACTGCACCGAATGATTCATCTCGGTTTCCCGGCATCTCATACAGAACACATCCCAGTGACCACATGTCACTCTTATCTCGGTAAGGCTCGCCTTTGCAAACCTACGCGGCCAGATCAACATCGACAAGTCCAAAAAGCCAAGTCCAAACTTAGCAGTTATTCCTTTCAGTACAGTGATGTCAGAGCCACTTAATTGTTGAAAACCTTACATTGTTGAATGAAAAGTCACAGTCTCCTCGTTTCAGGTGTGAGGCTTTAACTTGTCTTTTTCCTGTTCCCAGAACCGAAACAGTGAACAGTGCCGTTTGTGCTGTTCGAGACTTCGAAAGGGGACTGGTCACTGGCTCCATCCTGCCACATACAAAGTCGCGGTGGTCACAAATGGTGATCTATGACTGGACAAGGGGGAAGATATGACGTTCCTCTGTTGCATGACATGACATTCCTCTGTTGCAGACAAGGGAACAGGATTGGAGGACAAACTGAAATGAGCAAGAATCATGCTAGGCCAATTGATTGTCAGAGCTGTCGCCCGCACAATAGCTGGCGCGGACATGCTGCCAGAAAGGACCTCTAATTCGTTCGGCATCCACAGCATTTTGTCACGGACCAGCCAACAGCTGTCAAGAGTACTCCTTTTCCAGAGTCTAATGCATGAGCTCTCTCATGCAATCCACAAACGGGGATCATTATCTGTTGTGCTGACATTCAATAAATCAGAATTACTGCTTCCAATGTGAATCCTACTTGGATTGCAAACCATTCCAGCACATATATCGAACGTCAGCAAGATCTTCAGCCACTATGTACTCGAGAGACAGTGTAGCTGTCAAATAACGCAAAAGTTGCAATCGGTTGGTTCACACTCTACGCTAATTCACACAGAACTGCGCCTTCACAGTGTAGGACCTGATAGCAAGAGTTTGGATGCTGGACTGAAGCTCTATGCTCACTTTGCCTTAGGAAGGAGGACCAAGAACCTGTTTGGTTTCTTTTGATAGAAGGGCAACTCAGGAAAAAGCCTTGATCCTGCTGCTTGCTTTCTTGGTCTCGCGCTGCTGACAGCAGAAATCAGGCTGCTAGTCTTTGGAGAGCCTGAAAAACAATCTGCAATGTTTCCACTGGCTAAACACTCTCCAAACTTCAGGTTCACATTTCGTGTCTGCCTGCGCACCAGTAACCAGACTCGCAGGAAGAGACAGTGACAAATGACCCGCACACCTTTTCTCCCCTACATCTAGGAACCAAAATGAACCAAATGAATAGTGTTTCTAGTGTGAGTGTTTCTTCAAAGAAACTCCCCCCGCCAGTTTCCTTGAAGCGTGAACTATCCTGCATCCTACCTAGGACCTACAGTAGGAGCGCCCTGTACCATGGGAGCGTCGGTGCCGTTGGTCACCGAAGTCTCGTGGCCAGCCTTGTGGCCGATATCGTTGCGGAAATGCAGATTGGAGCCTCGATATCGGCAGAAACGGCAGCAGTGCCATGTCGTGGAATTGGTTTTTTATGTGTTTTCGTGTCTCACGGTGTTTCAGCTGTGCCCTTGGGAGTGCTATATCTCGAAAGGCGGCTGGATGTGGATGCAAATGTGTAGTTTGCGTACAGCAGGTACGGTATGGTAAGATGATGTATGATTTCGCCTTTCTCCGAATGATTTATTAGATTTTATAAGGCCGATTAGCCGATTAATGATTAATGACTATGTCAGCACAATGTGACCACCCCCAATCTGTCCCTGCATCATGAGCTTCATCCCGCCAGCTATGACAGCCGCGTTGCTGCTGGCACCAGGAGGATCAAATCGGATCTGCTTCACACCATCATACGCTCTTCGCAAGGCCTCCTTGAAGTCGCCTGCTTGCCCTGTCACCGCCAAGACGCGCCCTGAAAGCCATGGAAGGGCCAGGTGCCAAGTTCACAAAGTTCGATTCGAGGGGCGCTTGGATTTCACAGCCCAAAATCATATCATACTGAGTCCCAATACATCTACAAGCCTACAAGTTATATCCGCCGACCCCGCCGCCAGCAGGGGGAGCGCGAAAGATAAAATATCTTGGGAGCTCTTTTCGAGGAAGCTTGGGTCGCCGGCAAGTCCGCTTCTGCTGGTGTTTAATTTGCGGTTCCGAAAGCAACATCAGGCATGCCGCTGCCGCCGAGCGGGAGCCCGTTTCGTCGCGAAATGTGTTGGTGTTTGGGCGTGGCGAAGGGGCCGTTTTTCGAGGAAGCTTGGGCCGCGTGGAAGTCCGCTTCTGCTTGTTTTTCTTCGGTTCCGAAGAGGAAGGCACCGGCCAGTCGAAGAGGTTGAACCATGCCTGCAAGTCGAAGCCTGCTAAACGGAGTCGAAGAGGAATGCGACATAAGGAACACATGATGGAGGGATGCTGAAACATGACGATGGATTCAATTTTGACAAACACATCTCCAACATCAGGCTCACCTACATACCAGAACAGGGCCGAGCACGCATGTTTTCTTACTCTGGTCCAGACCCTGTGTAACATGCTTCGCCCTCTAGAGTGGCCCACGCCTGAACCTCACTGCCACGCCATAGACCGAAAGATCGCCGGCGCCCAGTCTTTTGGAAGTAGATCCTGCGCCCAAATGGCATCACTTGGCGCCAGTCCACGCAACTGGCGAAGCTCAAACAGCCGCCCCATGACGCTGTCCAAAACGTTCCCGTCAGCTGGGACTCTGTATCGACTCTTGGGCTTTCGCAGTCGTCTCTGATTCGACCACTTACGGGTACGATCTCTTGTGGCCTCTTATGAGTCTATATCAGAGTAAAGTCCACGTTGGTCGTCACCGGGCGGCCATGTCACGGATAGGGGCGGCTCCTTCCATGTATACACATGTCTTGGCTTTCCACTATCCTGTTTCTGCTTCCCACGAATGTATTTGGTAGAGGCACACAAAACCTGACTGCGAGGAAGGGACGCGCGCATACTTCATCAAACTTCTGTTTTCCACATGTTTGTGTTAGCCCCCTCAATGGTCACGGTCCCTAGCAGGCATACATACATACCTACCTACCTACCAACCTAAGAAGGGAGGTTACGCACAGGGGCATGCTTCTTTCGTTTGCGACTTCCACGCATACATACATACATAAATACATGCATACATACTGCCTTGATGCTTACTTGCATACATTCATACATATATACATGCCCCCTCCATGGTCACGGGCCCGCACAGACATACACGCGCGCATACATACATACATACATACATACGTACATACATACCTACCTCGGGGGGGCGGGGGTCACGGAGAGGTGCATGCTTCATTGTGTTAGACATTCAATGTTCATGTATACGCACATCCCGAGAATTCCACATATCTATCTTCCTACCGAAATATAACTCCATACTTACAAGGTCAAGGGCATGAATGTTGCTGGGAAAATACATACCTGAAGGTAATGTCTGTTTGTTTACTCCTGGTCCTGTTTGTCAGACATACCTCCTGGGTATGTATATGTTTCTGGGAACGGATATACATGAAAAAACTAACGGTATGTATCTGCGTGAGAAACATACATACCGGAAAATTGTGGGTATGTATGTTTCTCAGAACACGTACATACCTGTCATAGGTATGTATGTTTGTGGGACACATACTTACCTGGATAATCATGAGTATGTATGTTTGTGGGAAACATACAGACCGAGACACTCATGCGTATGTATCTTTGCGGGAAACATACATAACATACATACCTCGCAACGGGGGGCCTGCGAAACATACATACCTCGATTTTTGCATGATTGTACGGTTCCCAGAAACATACATACCCATGATTTTGAGGTATGTACGTTTCGAACATACATACATACATACTTACATACATACATACCTAGATGGGGGGAGGCAGGGGATGCCTACCACACACCTACTAACCTCCAAAAACAAGGTATGTATGTTACCCCCCTGGGGTTCTTACTCAATTGTGATCATGTTATTACGTTTGATCAGAATTGGTAGCCACCAGACGTCAACAATCCGTCATTACTGTAACCCAAGTAGTTATTATTGTCACCATGAGCCATTGGCCATTAGTCACTGAGCTCTGGTCAGTAAGATCTCCGAACCACTATCCGTTAGTAGCGCGATATAGAAGAAATATAGTATATATATATACATATACATATACACAGGACTCGCGTTGGCTTGGGGACCCCCGCCAGCATCTGTAACCTCATCCCACCGCCCTTTCCAGGTTGCACAGTCGTCGACGTGCGAAGGGGAGGCGCTGCGCCCTCCCCCGCACCCCCTCCCGCGATTTATGAGTGACACCCCTCGCCGCTGCTGAATGTTCGCGACGAAACAGACACACCTAGAAAATGAGACGTGTGTATGACGTATGGGTACTGGGGTACGGTATGTTTCCAACTTTGTGGTGCGTTAGGAGTGCCCATGTCAGAGTGTATTTTCATGGGTTACGTTGCACAGTCGTCGACGCGCGAAGGGGCTCGCATACATACCTAATAATTGATGATTATGGGTATGTATGTTGGTGGGAAACATACATACCTGGAAATCATGAGTATGTATGGTTCCCAGAAACATACATACCTGGAAAGCATGGGTATGTATGTT